GATTTACAGAGGCTGGAAGATGTTGGAAGTTAGGGTTTGGCGGCGGTTGGGAGTTGTTGAATGATAAAGTTCAGAATAGTACACCAATAATATACCGTAGAATACTATAGTATACACTATACAATAGCATAGCATACCATAGTATACCATAGTACACTATAGTATTATATTAAAGATCTGCTGTATTATTTGATAAAAACGAAAAAAATATTTTTTTCGTAATTTTCAATAAAATTTTCTAAAAAAAAGTTACTTATAATAACGTAAAAAATGCTAGAGTAAAAACGAATAAATAAAGATGACCAAGTCGGTAAAAATAAAATAAAATATATTATTAGATGAAAAAATGAAGATATTAAATGCATAATTAAATGATAAAATGCAGTTTGAATTTAATTAACACAAATTCGAATTTATGTATGGAGGGGCATTTTTTGGAATGAATGTAATAAAAGATGTGAAACAAAAGTTTAGTTAGGCTTGTGATCATTTAGTTCAAATTAGTATTGTCACCAGAGACCTATATTGTAATAGCCCTTAGTTTAAATATCAAAAGGGATATTGGTAAAAGACAAATATCAAATGAGTTGGTAACTTAGTATTATGTTCAAATGTGATTTGAGGGGTCTTTCTAATTAACCAAAGAAATCTAAAAGGGAACATTACACATTTCGTCCCTCAAGTTTACCTTGATTTCACATTTGGTCCCCCAAGTTCACAAAAAACAAGTTTAGTCCCTCATATTTCAATAATTTAACACTTTTAGAATCAAGCATGTGTGCATTACTTTCTTAACAGACAGACTAACGTTAAATTGAAGAAAATGACAAAAAAATGTCAAATTGTTGAAACATGAGGACCGAATGTGTGTTTTTAAACATGGATGTCCAAATGTGAAACCAGTGCAAACTTAAGGGATGAAAACTGTAATTTTCTCAAATCTAAATATTAGGTTCTCAGCCCAAATCATTTAAGTTGTAGGAGAATTAAAGGGCGGAAAGATGGGATGTGCATTTCATTTGAAAGGATATTCACTAGGCCAACATGATATACACATTTATATACACGCTTCAATCGGAAACACATCGCAAAAAATCGTACCAAGTCATCGCAAAACTTTGTTTTATTACAGAAGCTCAAATAAATAATTTATATTTTTGACACAACTTTCTTCATCATTTCCAGAAGAACAACATCTTTCTTGGATCCTTGAAGGTGATTAATTAACATGGACGAAGTAGATGCGTCGGCTAAGAACCCCTTTTTGTGCATTTCCTCTAAGAATGGCATTGCCTTGTAAACCTCTTTCTTCTTCAGCAAGCCCTGGATTATGTTGTTGTATGTCACGCTATTCGGTGCACAACCACTTCTCTCCATTTTTATAAGCAAATCTTTTGCTTCCTCTATAAATCCTTCATGACAAAGTACTCAGTCTCCAAGATTTTGAAGCTGAGTTTTGATCATTTGTCGTCACCAGCACTCAAAAAGTGTTTTGCATATTGTTCGATATATCCTAAAGGATATGACTTACCAAGGGAACGCTTGGTTGAGTTGTGGATGGCAGAGGGATTTCTTGGAGGAAATGATGATATGGAGATTGTGGGCGGCAACAAATTCTTTCATAACCTTTTAGAGAACTCCTTGTTGCTACAAGTTGCGGAGAGAAACGGTGACGACAATATAATATATTATAACATGCACGATCTTGTGCATGATCTTGCCTCCTCTATTTTAAATTCAAGCGATCAAGTTCGGTACATAGGTTGGGAATCGATTGATGGTCAATCACATGCTATCTTAAAAGAACAAGCAAGTTGTCTTCGTTCATTATGTTTCAATGATAGTATATGCGATCTCCTGTTCTCAAAGTTCAAATCGTTACACGTTTTAATTTTGAATTCAGGTGGTCGTTTAATTTTTGATGAGTTGCCAAGTTCCATTGGTCCCAGTGTTTAATTGCAATTTTTTTTACTTGTTACGAAAGGATATTTTCTTTCTCTGTTTAAACCTCTCCCGCTCTCATTCCTTTCTCAGTTCAAGAGTTTTAATCAAAATTATTCTTATGTATTTCACCATTTATTTGCCCTTTAATCAAAAAATTTGAATGATCGCATGTTTTTATTCGATACGGAAGAAATGGAGGTACAAAAGAAATCGAAAAAATTGTTTTTCATACCTAAAATATTACTGATTGGGACAATAATATTAGTAATAATTATGTGGTAATATTCATATTACTGTTTTACATTCAATATTACTGTCTCAGACAGTAATTTTGTTGTTAACGCACTAATTCAAAAACCAGAATTTCCCAAAAAAAAAAAAAAATCAACGCCGCCGGCCGGCCGAAAAAAAAAATATTTTCTAAAGAAAACATATCTTTTCAAAAGATTGTGAAAATGGGGTAATGTGATGTATTTGTTCGAATCCGGTTCAATGTGAAATATTGATAAAGTTAGAGTACAATAGATGAAATTGATGAAAATTATATTATGAGGGGTATTTTGAACAAAAGGCATAGGGCTATTTTTTGCTTGGACTTATCTGCATTTAAATTCTTGTCATACCCAATACAAAATCGAGAAAAAAGGAATCTGTTAGCACACATCCAAATTTTTATCTTCTTTCTTGTCAAAATGCCGGCGGTTTGTTATCTTTCCTACGCCACTCATCCACCCATAATATAAGGATTGCGACAACCGTAAAAATCACAAGTCAAAAGTACATATACAGATGTTGTATCTGCAAAAATTTCAGAAGCCCAAATAATTAATTTAGATTTTCGGTACAACTTTCTTCATCATCTCCAGTAGAATATCGTCTTTGTTAGATCCTTGCATGTGATTAATTAACAAGGATGAAGTAGACGCGTCGGCATAGAATCCCCTTTTGTGCATGTCCTCTAAGAACGGGATTGCCTTGTAAACCTCTTTCTTCTTTAGCAAACCCTGGATTATGCTGTTGTACATCACACTATCCGGTGCACAACCACTTCTCTCCATTTTCACAATCAAATCTTTTGCCTCGTCTACACACCCTTTTCGGCAAAGTGAACCGAGAATAACGGTGTATATTTTAATATTAGGTTTCAATCCTTTGGAAGGAAGTTCGTTTAAAATCATTTTTGCTTCGTCAAGTTTCCCATCTTTGCACAAACCATTAATCAGGATACCGTATGTGAATATATTAGGATTTAAACTTTTATTTTCCATCACCCGTAGAAACGAAAATGCTTCGGCAATTTGATGAGTCTTGCACAAGCCTTCCAACAAAATATTGCAAGTAAATAAATCAGGATGTACTTGTCGAGTTTCCATATCATTGAAAAGTTTCCATCCATCAGCAATTCTTTCTTCACCAAGTAATCCATGTATCATGATGTTATAAGTAACTGTCGTGTGTTCTAAGCCTTTAGAAGAAGCTTCGAGAAAAAGACGCCAAGCTTCATCCACTTTACCCTTCTTGCAATACCCGTTGATTAAAGAGTTATAGGTGACAATGCATGGCTTAAGGCCGTTGCCTGTTATGGAATCAAACACTTCTTTCGCTCTATCCATTTTCCCTTGCAAACAATATCCATCTATCAGTGCAGTGTAGGTGACAATATCGGGACAAATGTTTTGTTGCTTCATAACTTCCAAAATATCTTCAGCCTCTTTAATGCTTCCTTCCTTGCAAAATGCGTCCACCAATATACTAAAAGTAACAACATCTACCGAAATCTTGTGATTCACCATTTCATTTAATAAATCCTTCACCTCTTTCCATCTACCAAAATCGCACAAGCCCTGAATCATCGAGTTATATGTGACAAGGTCAGGTGAAATGCCCTTTTCAATCATTCTAGACTTGAGCTCGAGTGCATTATCCACCATTCCGGTCTTGCATAAGCCATTAATTACCGCGTTATAAGCCTTAACATCGGGTTTATAGATAGTAGTCTTTTCCAACAACAAAAGCAAATCACGGGCAGTATGAACACGTCCAGCTTTGCAGAGCCCATCAATCGCAGTAAGAATCGTAACATCGTCTGGCTCACAAAGATTCAAAGTCAAAATATTCTTGAACAATTTCTCTGCCTCGGCCACATTACCATCTAAAAAGAATCCTTTTAGGAGAGTGTTGAATGTCGTAACATTTGGCTTATGTCCGAGTTTAAAGAAGCAGCCAAGGATAGCAAAACCAACGTCTACACGTTTCAAAAGGCAGCAACAATTAATTAAGATGGTCATCGTGTACTCATCTATAGGGGCACCCCATTGACGCATTTCGTCGAACAGTTGAAGGGCAACAGAGTATTGTTTCATCTTGACAACAACTTGCAACAGTTTGTTGAATTCAAAAACGGATGGCTGTGGTTGCATTGTCACCATTTGACGAAACAAGAAAAAAGCATCGTCTAATTCATGTATGAAACTCAAATCTATTCTGGGCTTAGGTGAAAAGGATCGATCTTTGTGACCCACACTATGAAAATTTGAACAGAAGAAAGAAAAGGGATAAGTAAAAATAGAGTATTTAGCAAATAATGCTCTACGAATCAGCATTTCAGTTCCTCTCATTGTTTTCAGCAATTTTATGAAGATAATTTCAGTGAAGAATGAACTGGTACCTACAGAAGAAGAAGAAGGCTCGGAGACTACCGAATTTATTTATTCATTTATTATTTTTTTATTTTATTGTTTATTTTTTATTTTGTTTTTTAATGTTATTTTAAGGGCAAATTGCATTTCAACCCAATAACTTTCTAATTTCCGCACTTTCCCCGTCAAAGTTAAAAAAACAAAGGGCAAATTGCATATCACCACCTGCAAATTTCTAATTTTTGCACTTTACCCCCTATTGTTTTTTTAAAGCGCAACCAATATAATATATCAAGGGGGAGTGTATCCCTTTTTTAAATTTTTAGGGGGGGAAGTGCGGAAATGAGAAATTATAGGGGGTGCAGTGCATTTTGTCCAAAAACAAAATCTTAGAGAGCCATCTTGTCTCCATGGGGGCCTACAAAAGCAAAACATATTACTTGTTTAGTTTAACGATTTTGGATTTTACGTTACGATTATTCGTAGACAAGATTTAAGTAGTGTTTTAGTTACATCAAAGAAACAAACGTATCAACAAAATTGAATAAAAGGGGGCGGGGCTGGGGCATTGGGAACAATTTTTTGGGGATTTGATTTTCTTTGGACGAATTTATAATAATAAAGTTAAACTAGGGCTAAATAATCAATAGAGGTAAGACAAGGGTAGAAGTGCATGATCACGTGCCTCGCACGTGACTTTTTCGTCGAAACCAACAACAATTTCGAGGTGGACGAAAACTTTATATAAAATGGTTATTTGACGACCAATTTCGTGCCAAAAAAAGTTTTGTACAAAAATCGAAGGTGTGTAATATAGGGACCACAACTGTAATTATCCCCCACGATACGTTTATAATCATCTCAGGTTGATGAGCAATGATGGGACAATATATATCCTATAATAGTACGTACATGGAAGAGAGAGAATTAGGGGTGGAAAATACAACCCATTTTTTTATGTCCGGCAATTACGATCAAAAAGTTCCATAATTGTAATAATTTTTTTTATTTTTTTATTTCCTATTTTTTGAAATACAAAATGAATTATAATAAGAAATATATATATTAAATAATCATAAATTCTTATTTCGCTCTCCGATTTTAATTTTCGAAAATATTCTGATAACTCTGAAATTTTATAAAAGTCTAATTATAATTATAATATGAATATAGTTATATACGTATATAATGTAGAAATAATAATATTGAATAATGTTTTTCATATTTTTCATTAACCAACACTATATTCATATATATACATACATGCATGGTCAATAGGATCAAGCAAATATTCTTCAATAAATGTATATAAAATCAAATCAAATATTCTAATGATAGTTACAATTAAATCAAATATTGCATATAATCAAATCAAATATCTTTGGGATTATCTCTAATATGCCCCCTCAAGATGGAGCTCCTTGAGGAGAGTCCAATCTTGTCTCCAAGATAAATAAATCGAGCTCGAGGTAGTGGTTTGGTGAGAGCATCGGCTAATTGATCGGTTGATGAGACATGAGCAACTCGTAGATCTCCATTTTGAACTTGAACTCTAATGAAGTTAAAGTCAATGGCATCATGCTTCATACGGGAATGGAATACTGGATTAGAACACAATCGTGTAGCTCCAACATTATCACAGTAGATAACGGGTGACTGAGGTAGTTGGATATGGAGATCGGTGAGGAGAGAACTTATACAAGATAATTCAGAAGCTGTAGCAGCAACAGACCGATATTCGACTTCTGTAGAAGAGCGAGCAATTGTACTTAGCTTCTTGGAACTCCACGAAATAGGATTGCGACCGAGATAAACAATATAAGCACTGGTAGAAGAGAAATCATCTTTATTTCCCCCCCAATCCGCATCGGAAAAGGCATGGAGTGACAGTGGAGAATCACGATAGAGACATATGCCATAATCAGAAGTACCAGAAAGATAGCGTAAGAGGCGCTTAACTGAAGTCAAATGGTCGGTGGTTGGACGATGCATGTATTGGGATAGCTTGTTTACTGTAAAAGCTATTTATGGCTGAGTAAGAGACAAGTATTGTAAGCTACCAACGAGAGCTCTGTATTCCGTTGGATCAGTAAGAGTACTGCATTTTGGTAAACACCTTGCACCTAGATCTGTTTGGTCATGGATTCGAGACACCAGGAGAGAGGGGAATTGGGGAACCAATAACTATTCTTCTTATATAAAAAAACAAAAAAAAAAAAAAAAAAAAAAAAAAAAGACAATTAGCAAAACCTTATCAAACTTCAGAAGTCCAAATATATAATTTATAATTTCGGCACAACTTTCTTAATCATATCCAGAAGAAAATCATATTTCTCTGATCCTTGCAGGTGATTAATTAACATTAATGAAGTAGCTGCATTGGCCGAGAATCCCCTTTTGTTCATTTCCTCTAAAAACGGCATTGCCTTGTCAAGTTCTTTCTTCCTCAACAAGCAATGGATAATGACGTTGTATGTCACGCTATTCGGTGCGCTTCTCTCCATTTTTATAAGTAAATCTTTTGCCTCGTCGACAAATCCTTCTTGACAAAGTGAATCGATAACAACGGTATAAACTTGACAATTTGGTTGCAAACTTTTGGACGGAAGTTCGTTTAAAAGCTTTTTTGCCTCTTCAAGTTTCCCATCTTTGCACAAACCATTAATCAAGATACCGTATGTGACTATATTAGGACTTAATCCTTTGTCTTCCATCACCCGTAGAAACGAAAATGCTTCGGCAATCTGATGAGTTTTGCACAAACTATCCAACAAAATATTGCAAGTATGTAAATTTGGACGTACGTGCCGAGCTTCCATATCGTTGAATAGTTTCCATCCATCTGCAAATCTGCCTTCACTAAATAATCCATGTATCATGGTGGTATAAGTAACTGTCGTGTGTTCTAAGCCTTTCGAAGAAACTTCGAGAAAAAGACGCCAAGCTTCATCCACTTTACCCTTCTTGCAGTATCCGTTGATTAAAGTGCCGTAGCTCATAATACATGGCTTAAGGCCGTTGCCCGTTATAGAATCAAATACTTCTTTCGCTTTATCCATTTTCCCTTGCAAACAGTACCCATCTATCAGTGCAGTGTAGGTGACAATATCGGGACAAATGTTTTGTTGCTTCATAACTTCCAAAATATCTTCAGCCTCTTTAATGCTTCCTTCCTTGCAAAATGCGTCCACCAATATACTAAAAGTAACAACATCTACCGAAATCTTGTGATTCACCATTTCATTTAATAAATCCTTCACCTCTTTCCATCTACCACAATCGCACAAGCCCTGAATCATCGAGTTATATGTGACAACGTCAGGTGAAATGCCCTTATCAATCATTCTAGACTTGAGCTCGAGTGCATTATCCACCATTCGGCACTTGCATAAACAATCAATTACCGCACTATACGCCTTAACATTGGGTTTATAGATAGTCCTTTCCAATAATAAAAGCAAATCACGGGCAGTATGAACACGTCCAGCTTTGCAGAGCCCGTCAATCGCAGTAAGAGTCGTAACATCGTTTGGCTCACAAAGATTCAAAGTCAAAACCTTCTTGAACAATTTCTCTGCCTCGGCCACATTACCATCTAAAAAGAGACCTTTTAAGAGGGTGGTGAATGTCGTAACATTTGCCTCGTAACCGTGTTTAAAGAAATAGCCGAAGATAGCAAAACCAACGTCTACACGTTTCAAAAGGCAACAACAATTAATCAAGATGTTCATTGTATACTGATCTACAGGGGCAGCCCGTTGACGCATTTCGTCGAACAGTTTAAGGGCGACCGGATATTGCTTCATCTTGGCAATAACTTGCAAAAGTTTGTTGAATTCAAAGACAGAAGGATGTGGCCGCATCCTCATCATTTTACGAATCAAGAAAACAGTATCATCTAATTTATTTATACGATTCAAATCTGTTACGGGCACAGTTGAAAATAGCCTACTTGTGTGGAAATT